TTTTCACTCTTTTGGAGTGCTTTTCACTCTTTTGGAGTGCTTTTCACTCTTTTGGAGTGCTTTTCACTCTTTTGGAGTGATTTCCACTCTTTTGGAGTGCTTTTCACTCTTTTGGAGTGATTTCCACTCTTTTGGAGTGCTTTTCACTCTTTTGGAGTGATTTCCACTCTTTTGGAGTGATTTTCACTCTTTTGGAGTGATTTCCACTCTTTTGGAGTGCTTTTCACTCTTTTGGAGTGATTTTCACTCTTTTGGAGTGCTTTCACTCTTTTGGAGTGATTTCCACTCTTTTGGAGTGATTTCCACTCTTTTGGAGTGATTTCCACTCTTTTGGAGTGATTTCCACTCTTTTGGAGTAATTTCCACTCTTTTGGAGTGATTTCCACTCTTTTGGAGTGGATTGATATGTGATTCACGCTTTTTAAAAGTGACCGTTTTCACTTGTTTGCCTTTTGATGCATTTTCAATTGCGTTTCGTGAATTTTTCATCTCAGCACCCAGCTGCACCGCCAAATGTGTCTAATCCTCAGGTCTCGGTAAATAGAAAGTTCAAATCACCGGAACCATGGCAGCAGAATAGTGCATCTTTTCACACGTAATGACAGACGATATTGATCAACGCAATGTGAGGATCCTTTCTCTGACAGATGGAAAAGTTCCCGGCTCGTTTTTTTATGACCAAGGCGCTGTATCATATTCAAGGTGACGAATGGAGTGCCTCATAATGGTATCCTGACGATTATGTTCATATGCTTTCAGCACTTGTATACGCTGGCAAAACTGTTGAGGGAATATTTATAGAATGTTACGTAGAACGGAATAATGTTTCGAGTTTTTCTTCCTGTACTAGTGAAGTTGCAAAATCACGGCAGTTTAATAAGTGCCACGTGCCAAAAAAAAAAAAACAAAAAAAAAACAAAAACAAAAAATCACACTTAAGGATACATTTTATAACGACGGAAGGCTAGATAGGACTTATAAGACTGTTGAGATATTCGCAGCATGTCAATTTGACGCTGCGGCAAGGAAATATGTAAGTAGCTGCGGCGAGGTAGACCTTCAACGAAGAAACTCGCTGCAGCGAGACAGTTACTAAAAAAGTGTTTTGCATGTGGCCACTGTAGGCCTCTGTACAAAATAAATCAAATGTGATTATGTTAGATTTCTTTTAAATTACAGGTAGGAATATAAGACACTCTGCAAGATACAAATTTATCGCTCGTTACTTAAACAAGTCAGAATAAACTTTTCTACTAGGAGTAACGAGAGTGCAGCTTTGCGCTACGGAGACGATTGGCGTCATTTGGGAGACAGCCTTGGTAATTAAGGACGAAACCAGACGTCTAGAGCGACCAGTGTTGGCCTGCACTTTGACGTAAGGGATAATTTAAAATACACACAGTAGCCAGTGAATGGGCATTATGCATGCATTCCATTTACGTGTCCAGAACAAAGAACTATTCACAGAAAACAGCTCCACCAACTGTATCGTGTGTCAACAAAATGGTTTGTTTTGCTATTGACTCGTAACTCCATACAAATCTTTATGCCATTTTCCGAAGTCGGGTGATTGAAAAAGTAAAGGGTATTTGTCTATGCGGCCACGTGATATGCAAGAGCCCTTCACCTCAGTTCACTGACGATAGAAGGAGCTGGCAACCTGATTCGGACACAAGATATCAGAACGATGGATGGCAATGTTTAATGGAAGAGGTTATCAGGTATACTTTAGGCCAGGTTTTCGGTCAAAAGCCCGGGTTCCTATCGACGTAAATAGACACAGGGAGCATCGCGGCCGATCAGTTTCCAACGATACACAATGATGCGGAAACACTTTATCATGACTAACACATGCCGACATCGACATAGACAATCAGAAAATGAGTTTAATTGACGGAACCCAAGCGCACTTTCAACATCTTACCAGCAGGAGCGACCGGGTACTTCTTCTTGATCGCGCCGGTGCTGGGATCCACCGTAACGAGGGTCCAGGCTGGGTAGGGCTTCCCAAACAGACCCGGTGACATGGCGAACAGTTCGCCTAAAAGTCAGCGATAAATACAAGCCATTATTTTTGAAGCAGCCATGCCTTCATCGTCCGGCCCAACAAAAAACCAACAAACAACAACAAAAAATCTTTTGGGAAAAAATCGAAACCATCCTTTCTCTTGAGGGACGAGCTAGCAATTCTGAAACAATCTCGCATTTCTCCAGAGCGCCGACTAAATTTGATCTATACAACGAGAATGAGAAGTCTGACCTGTTTTCTCGTAGACTTGAATGGCACTGATCGTATACTCGCTCACATCAAGCTGTCTAACTGTCAGATCTCTGTCAATAGTTAATCAGAAAGGAAATGTGTAAAAACACTGTCACAGAAGAACTGAACTGTAATATTCAACCAAAGCCCTGGCGACTTTTCATGTGTATTGAGAAAATCTGGGAATGCTCTTTAATTATTTTGGGTGTTGTGCGCATTCACTGACTCTGCTCAGCTTTCTGTAATCGAAATACACATGCATGCTTCTGGGTTTCCTGCTTGGATGAACAGGAAAGGACCCGTTTGAACACAGAAACAGTCCTTTAATGGGGCGCACCTTCGAACGTTGGTTCCCGCACTAAAATACCCAGTAAGGTATGGGGCGGAGGGGTACACCCCCCCATTCCAATTCTTATACACAACCTGAAGTATTGTTACCTAACACATCCCCCTAGATGTCTGCAAAGAATTCCTGAGATTCTGATCAAATAATGACCAACACAAAAGTGTGTGGGGGTGGGTATGTGGGTGAGTTTGTATACACATTCAAATCGTGGACCTATAACAATAGGGGACAATAGGGTCCACGGTTGCCGAAGAGTCCACGGTTGGAAAACGTGTATAAAACATATGGGAGGTCTTCCGAAAAAAGTTGAAGTATGAACAAAAGAGGAACAATAGGGAGTCCATGATTGAAGGCGTTTACACACTTGGATGTGTGTGTGTGTGTGGGGGGGGGAGTGCTCTGCGTCCAATATCTTGCTTCAAGTGTGCACTCATGGCGCAAAGCTTGCTCAAACTTTCCATTGGAATATGAATGACCGTCGCGTGGGCCCTGTGGCCTATCGTCCGTTTTGTTTGAGCAGCGGACTCGTACACAGTTTAGAATGCCCATCCATAAATCGGTAACTCAAATTAAAACGACGTGCTGGACTCTCTCGGGCCCGAAGTTCGCACGTCCGCGCAATCGTGACAATGCGTAATCCTATAAAGATTGGAGACAGTGGCACACCTGGGATTTGTCGCCAGGGGCGGGGACTTGGACCGGAAGGTATCCCTTAATATAGTTCATGCCCAAGCCACCACGCCTGGTTGCGCCAAAGGGGACCGTGATGAATGGCTATATAAGTGCCAGAACATGTAGTTGAAGATGCAAGTATATTTTGTACCTTTGTTTTTGAAAAAAAGAAAAAATAAATAAACAAAACATAACCAAAACAACAACAAACAACCCAACCAACGAACGAAACAGAAAAAACCTGAAAACCTCGGAAGATGGACTGATGCCACTCTTTGGAGATTTATTGGGGGTGCAGCGCCACCACTGATGTTGGGGAGGTAGAACTCAGCTTTGCGTTTTGTTTTGGTTCGATTGGGTTGGTTGGTTCTGTTTAGTTTGGGTTGGTTTGGTTTGGTTTAATTGGTTCGAGTTGGAGTGGTTTAGTTTAGGTTGGGTGGTGTTAGGTTGGGTTGGTTTGGGTTTGGTTTCTTCGGGTGGGATTGGGTTGGGTTTGGTTTGGGTGACTTGGTTGATTTATTTGAGTCAGTTTGATTTGGGTCGGTTTAGGTTTGGTTGGATTTGGTTTGATTGGATTAAGATGGATTTTTTGGTTTTTTTTTTTAGTCAGCTCACTTCGATGCCACGTTCAGCGTGTAGATCTTCGCCTTGAGTGCGTCCGGTGAGTTCTCGTTGCCGATCAACATGTAGTGTACCTTGGTCTTGTAGTTGAGCGTTGCCCACAGGTAGTTCACGTAGTCGTGCTCGGGCGTTTGGCTGGTGTTGAGGATCTGTTCAAAGTGCCCCATGTAACTCAAAGTGCCATACAAGAAGGTGAAGTTCTCTGGGTATAGAATAAAACACAACAACCACGGCTATAGCTCTTAGGGTTGAATACAAGTACATTTCTAAATCTTAACTTGAGCCTCTGTATCCCTAAAATAGCAGTCTTTCTTCCTAATATCACTGCTATGCTTTCTTCTGTGCCGAGCCCAAACTTTGAAGTTGATGTCTTGTAAAATTGGTAAGATGATATCTTGAGGCAATTATGACCACCATTTTAAAAATGAAAACCTCTGGGTCAGGAGCACCAAGAATGTTTGCTGCCCGGCCAAATAATTTTGACTTTTTGTTGATCGTCTAAAAATGGACCGAAGACAGATTTTCAGAACAGCTCTCGCTTTTCCATGCATTTTAAGTTACAGATTCCACTTTAGGTCGTGTGTTCCCCAAAGCAATCACGCAATCACGATTTCAACCTAGATGGCGCTTTCCTTGAGACGGCATATGAAATAAGTTCAACTTCAGCGTGAAATCGTGGGCTTAGGGATGCAGGCTAGTAAATAGGCCCAAAATTGCCTGCACGAACCTAATCACAACGTGTAGGTTAAGTTCTCTGCTTTTTTCAAGATGTATTTTTTTCTCTGCTGTTAGAGAACTTCGTGGCACGTGGATTGGGCGGTTTGTAAAGAGGAGGTTGGAAACTATCAGCAGGACTGCCAGCTTGTACCCCGGTATTCCTGAAAGTATAGGCCAAACGGGGCCCTGTCTAAATCCCTAAATCTCTAATCCTGCAATGGAGTGCAGGCTTCAATTTTGAGAATGGCGATGGACCTTCCTGACTTTTTTGAGAGGTGAATATCTCTGGAGAGAAGTATCTTCAAAATTAAAACTTAACAAAAAGGAGAAATAGGAGGGAGTGAGCTTTAATTTCAGTTTTGAACACCCAAGAAGCTGTATTTTTCTAAAATTTTTTGAAGTGGGAGTATAATCTATGTCTGCAACCTTATGGGCGCCGTGAAAATGGGCCTGATTACAAACATACACGAACCTGACTGTGGGTACATCTCCTTTATCTGAACTGCCAGGTACAACTGCCTGAGGTAGGGTACTAGACTGATTATAGGCAAATGGTTAGGCGTATCCAGCTCGTATTCCCCAGCGATCTCCCTCGTCACCATGTCAATCCAAAGCAGCTTGTTGGGGACAGCGTCAAGACCTCCGTTGCGGTGTTCCAGCAGGTTGAGATACGGCATCTCCCGGTCGAAACAAGCAATCTGGTCCATGACGTATTTGTTCGATTGTGCCCTGTAAGCGGAAATGTAAGTGTGTATTGCATCTACTATACCCAGTAAGAAATGAGACCG